CATAACAACCATCACCAAACTTAAAACAGGAAGTAACGTGCCAAGTTGAACCAATCACATTAATCGGCATGCAGCGTCGAGAGCGGATAGCTTCCACATCCGATGCGACTCGCACCGGGGTTCAGCTGAAGCGAGTCCCAGACCAGCATTTTTTTAAAGAGGAACAGGGATCGGACCTCTGCACCTCTCCCAGACTCGAAAACAGCTTTCACAATTCACCAAATGTACCGAAGTCCCAGGCCAAAAAAACACAAGTGTGAAAATGACTTAAGATTGCTGCACCAGTCTTCTTGGAGTTTCGTCTCTGCGCTCACACTTAATCCCGTTCTCGATTAATTGCCGTTTAATTCCCGTGTAGAAGTGCTTGTGTGAAAATGGCTGGTGGATGTTCTGTGCAGCTCACCAGCTGCTTCATATTTGTGGCCAAATTCAGGGGGTTTATATTAAATGCCATTACGGTACTACATGCAGATACAAGGCATTGTTCCTTCTAGTCCAAAAAAAGATTGGATCTGACAAGGACAGGGGATGAAAGCTCGTTTTTTTTTTTTTTGGCGACTTTATAACTTCATTAATGCCCACACATGGTGCTAAAAGCCATTGCACCATACTGAAAGCATGACAGGTTGATCAATGTTGTTAACTGAATTAGTGTCTTTACATCAAAAAGCTTTTTGGGTTACGTTTCTTTCCCCTGACTGTGCCCATTAAGTGGCCCTTTATTGAATATCTGTACATTACTGGGCAATGTTCCCTTTTAGCCAGCATTCATCAGTAAGAGTGGAGTGAAATATGCGTTATAAGACGGGGGAGGAATTTTCTAACCTGCACCCCCTCTCTGCCTATGTAAATGTATTACTAACACATTCTTCTCCTTCTCGACGTTTAAAGATGTGCTATTTTTCATATCCTTCCCTACGCTGATGAATGATGAAAGTAGGGCGGAGCGTGACAGCTTGTGCCTCTGTTTCAGGCCTGGTTGGCTGGGAAGACAGGATCTGATGTGCACCTCCAGCTCCTGGTTTGATGAAAGCCGATAAAAGTTTTAGTGGTTTAAAAGAAAGGCGCCTTGTAGCTGCGGGTAATAATAAATGTCTTTTTTCTGTGTTTTAAGGAGTGCTGCTTGAAGGCAGAGATTCAGATTGTAACTGCATTTTGCCTGAGTGTTAGAATGTCTTTTTTGATCTACGGCACACTTGGCACTTGAGTTGCCTCAAATCGTATTGCAGAGGAGCTTCTGAATTGAAACTGAGTTGTGGGGTGTGAAAATATCACAGGAATACTTTTTTATATGCATGCACTGCAGGTTACAAGTGAATAGACAACAAAGTTTATCAGAACATCGCATTGTCCATGAGGGGTGGACAAATCACAAATTCATTAGCTAGTCCATGTTTTAGTTTAATTATTAGTTTAGAAACCTAACTGACAAGGGAAAAAAATTTGTAGCTAACGTAATACGTTAACATATAACCACCTGCAGACCCAATGAATGAGTATTAACTAAGAAAATAACTATTAACTAAGTATTAACTAAGAAACATTTCAGCTATGAGATGTAGTGTTCTGTGCTAGCATCATACCTAGAAGATATTATTCGAGTCTAGGGTTAGTGTCTGTATGTTCTTTTGATTTGCTTAATTACATGGCGAGTAGTACTCATAGCAGGAGAATCACAATATAAGGCCGAAAGTTTGTGGACACCTGACCATCAGACCCATATGTGGTTCTTCCCCAAACTGTTGCCACAAAGTTAGAATCACACAATTGTATAGAATGTCTTTGTATGCTGTAGCATTACA